CTCACAGCCATACATTACTACTGGAAAAACCATAGCTCTGACTATGCGGATCTTTGTTGGCAAGGTGATGTCATTTATGAGAAGCCAATGATTCTGAACAACCCTGTAGCAAGAATGTAGCTTTATGCAGACTTATAAGTTATTACTACTAATCAAATAACCCAGACTCTTCTTGCACACAGGTTTACTGAAAAGAATAGGATAAAGAACAAATTAAGATATGGAACTTCATTCTCTGATTTAACCCATTATTATGTGATCCGTCAGTTGCAAGAAAGACAAGGACATGTTTGTTCTGCAAATATATATCCATTTTAAGACAGCTGAACTTTGGCTGTTTCCACCCATGCAGAGCCCTAGGAATTGTAATTTGACGAAAATGCTCTCTTACAGATCTCAAGCAACATTCTCAGCCCTACAGATGAGAGAACAGTGATTAGACTGATTGAAACCAGGCATGCTTGACCATGAATTGCTCTGTGCTACATATTGCTAAATCATTGGTTTTCTGAAGGGAGGGAAACCTTTCCTACCTTTCATCCACTCTCTGGAGTTGGAGGGTATAGCGGCAAATGAGGTCTCGGACAGTTGTCCCAGGGCTCAGCCCACAGTACAGCTGGAAAACGTCTCTCAAACTGGCTCGCTTGTGTCCTATAGAAAATAGCAACAGAATAAAATCAAGGAAATCACACAGGCTCAAGCTGTTTGATGACGATGCCTACCATCAAAATAGTCGGCTAAACATTATGTAAGAACAGCATTCAAAATTACAATGTGGATTGCATTCAGCTTAAAGAAGGACTAGAAATAACATTCTAAGGCATCAGGCTAGATACAAATTAACCAGTGCTACCAAATATAGTTTATTGGACTGCTACTATCAGTGACAATGCCATCAACTAAATTGTTATGAGATTTTTATTTTGAACTGAAAGTCAGCCAAGAGCAAATGAATTCATTTTATGTGCAATATATTATTCATATGACTACCTCTGTCATGAAGTGATTGTTTTATGGCCATGTATGTTACAATAGTTTAGTAAATAGCTCCTGATATTAATAACCCTTGATTTTATGCAATCTCTCCCAAGCTATTTTAACAGGAGGAACACCAAAATGCTTGGTGGGGATGAGGACAAGGACTAATTTTATAGTGGTTCCTCTGGATTATGCTGCAATCAAATATACGCTTTCCTGAAGGTAAGGCCAATTGAACTCCAAAAGATGTAGTTTTGAACAGATACAAACAGGACTGCACTTTCAGTCGTCCAGGCTTCCATACCTGGTTTTGTGACATATGAGAGACATTCATCTTGCAGGCATTTATCATCCACTAGGTCCTGAACTTTAGGAGTGGTGCAATATACATTTGAGTACTGTGGGGGAAAAAAAGGAGATTTCAGTCAACAGTGGCCGAGTTGCAGCATTTTAGCTACTGCTGGAATTCACACTAATTACTAATCAAAAGCATTCCAACAGAGTGCACAGTGGCATATAATCAGCATTAGAATTACATGAAATAATGGTATCAAGTAGCAGTATAGGACATCTCTTGTTCTTGAAGTTAGTGGTAGATTTTTTAAAATTATACCTGACTCCCACAAATTATTTTTCTTTGGGTAATTTTACCAGTGACTCCTACTGAAAACTTCCCTGAACATAAGCCAATGATAAAGCAGCCTTCCTTACAAAGTCTAGATCAGTGTTTCTCAACCTTGGTAGCTTGAAGATGTGTGGACTTCAACTCCCAGAATTTCCCCCCCCCACCCCCCTGCCGGGGGCTACTTGGGGTGGAGGACAACCCCACTCACACCCTTCAAAGGACGGGACACGGCGGACG